TGAATTGGGAAAGCAGTAATTGAATGGAACAGGAGCACGATACTGTGCAGAAGGTAAGGCTTCTGCTGAGCTTAGAGTTACTGTCAACAAGCAGAAAATAATTCTGAGCATGTCCACAAATTATCTTTATACATTTTATAAGTTTTAATGTTGTCTAGCATTTCTTGGTCCCCCTAGGGCAACTAAATGCTCCCAATGCTGAAAAATGTTACCTCCCTCCCCCAAAATATATCAGAAGGAAAATCAGAATCTGGGTTGTATTTTGTATAACATGGAAATGGTTAAAGGTTGTTGTTTTTAAGACTGGGGGCTTACAAATATTCTCCTAAAATGGTTTGTATGGTATGTAAATATTCTAATTGTTTATTAATTATTGTTCTTAACATTGAACATAAATGTGACTGATATTAGACTGCTTCTGTGGTCTAGTGGTGAGAGTTCCTGCCTACAGATCCAGAGCTCCTGGGTTCGATTCTCAGCGCTACCACATTTTCTGAGAAGTAGTGCATCTGGAATGGGGTCCCCTCAGCCTCATGACACCATCTGTCCGCAAAAGTTCACCAACAAGCTTCGGTTGCTTGGTCGGTATAGTTCACTTGTGGACTGCAAGCCACAGAGTTTATGGCTGATATTTCTCACCTTCTCTAAACTTATAATAGTGCCCACTATTTTGTGTTCAAGGATGGTAGTTGATACAAGCATAGACAGGAGGATAATATTAGAATTGACTCCTGAAACAGGTTGTGAAGATGTGTTTATATTTATAGTCCTAACTTGAGTGGGATTTATTTATAAGTTTTTGTGGTAGGTGTGACAGACTGTTGGGTGCTGTCCTGCCCAGCTTGCTTATTCTCTAAGTTTCTGAATGTAGGTCAGGCATCATATCCCTGTCATTGTGTTCAGATGTGGCAATTGTAACAAAATCAATATGGATTTTGAAGGATGTGGTGCAGAACCACGTTCATTACAAGTTATTTCTATGTATTCTTTGTTAAGTGTGCAATAAAATAATCAGTGTATTTTAACTCTTATGTTGCTTGCATGTAAATGGCACCCTTATGGAGTGAAACCTTTAAGTTAGCATTGAAAAGGTTGGTGGATACATTTCTTAAGACTAAACACATTACTGGTACAGCTTAATATTGAGACATGTTGCGCAACGGAGAACCCCTTCCCCCCAGCAGTGATATGGTGGGTGAGTCAGTGCTCCGTCACCCCCCTCCGCACGGTGACATAACACGCAACGTAGCTGTGACGCTGGTAACGGGCGACAGCGGTACCCATTGCGTAACAGGCGAGCACTGTGACTATATAAGAGAGCTACACTGCCTACGAAGACAGTTGAGTTGGAATCTAGGCAGCAGCGAGTTACGAGTTGAATTGAATTGTAGTAGTCACCGAGATCAATTGTAACGAGTGAATCGTGACAGAGTGAATTGATTAGTGCATAGGGTTTGTAAAGTGTGGAAACCCGTAACATTGTTATAATTAATTGTAGCCGAGACTTGTAGGTTGTTAAATAAACCAATTAACAATCCGAACGGCGTCTTCAGTAATGAAACATGTTACACTGGTGTCAGAAGTGGGATTTGGGACTTACACATGTGACCAACAAGATTCGAACGAAACATGTTACAATATGTAACAGGACAAACAGATACATCTCCTATAGGGTTCTGATGATGGTGTATAACACACAGAGTTACTGTGTTTTCGGACTTTGTCCATCATCCGGAATCTAAATAAATAAGAAAAAAAAAAACGTTTTCGGAAACTGAATCTGTTTCCGTCCTCAGGTGAGGGAAGATACCTACTCTGCTGGGTCCCTTAGAAGGAGCTAGCCTCAGTCACTGGATTAATGGAGTTCAAATAACAGCCCAAATATCAAATATGGATTTTCTCAGTGCATTCAGGCATATATAAGAATGTTGCCTGTACCTTGAATTAGGCCATGCCTGCTTCCTCCAATGTCTTTTCCAATTATTCATCAGTCATTCTGGCATTCAGTAGTACGAGTATATAATCTGAGAGCTACTGACACTTTTATTGAAAAGACCACAAACAAGTAAATATTATAGCAGTTATTGTTATTTGGAGTGATTATTGGCTTATCCTCAGTAACCGCCTACAATCTTGATGTTGGTTTTGTATCCACCAGTTCATCATAATGTCACTGCTCAGTCACTTCGCTGTCCTCTTCCTTTGTCTTCTCTTTGCTTATCTTCTACACTCAGCTGAACTTCCAACTGATTTACTGCTCTGACTCACTGACTGACTCTTTACCAGACTGCACTGATTAATGCATGGTTCACAGCACTCACTTTCATGTGTGTTACACTTCTGCTCAATTTGATGAAGACTGCCCTTACGAAACACTTTGCAGCTATGATTATATATGTGCCACACGTCGAGAATTGTCTAATGCCTGCACCTTTTGGCAGTCTCCAGAGCAATCTAGAGGGGGAATGGGGCAGGATTTTGATGTTTTCATTGTGTAATATGAGTGTGACCTCAGTTTCAACTCCTAAGACAGTATGTTTCCTTAAATTTTCTGTAGTTGTGATTCTATTTATGTGATCAAATTACTTGTACCTGGTCATAGTAAAAGTTATCTATGTAGTCTCAGTCATTCAGGTACAAAGATCCATTATTTACCCATTCTATACCCTCCCTGTATTTAACTGAAATAGAAAATGACGAGGCTTGATGTGGGAACTGTGGAGCGTGGGGACAGCAGTCATATGGTTTCTGACAAGAAATTCCTGCACAGGCAAAACAAAGTGGAGAGTAATATTTTTTTAAGAAAGCAGTCTTCTGGGATTTGGCACCGTGTATATGTGGTGTTAACCGACATTTCAGAGGTGCAGATTTCTTATATTTGTCCTTCTACCCTGAAGATGGAGGCGATACGTTCCTCCGAAACGTCGGTTAACACTGCATATACACGGTGCCAAATCCCAGAAGACTGCTTTCTTCATAGTCACCGCCGTGAAAGCCTCAAATCTTACATAGAATATTTTTTGTTGAAGGAACCGGTCTTCAGGAGTTGTTGCACACACAAGCAACAAACTGACCTTTGCAGCTGACACATTCCAATGGATGCATAATTGTCAGAAAAGAAATGCTGGTTTAACTTAATTTTGGCTGCCATCTCCTTCAAAATAGTCTCCCTGGGAAAGTATACAGCGATCCCATTGCAGCTCAAGACACATGTTTATGTGCCACTGCTTTTGATCATTCATCAAGAATCGAGAACAGACTTCGTGGCAATGTGGTGCATGTTCAAAGTTTCTGTTAAGATCTCCTGGCAAACTCCATACCTGATCCCAATGGTGTCTGCAAGCTCATGGATTCTTCAGTGACGGTCTTTGGGGATGAGTTCTCGAATTTTTCTAACGTTTTCTGTTATTTCTCTGGTGCTTTGTCACCCTGAACGTTCATCTTGAACTGACACGTGACCGGCCTTCAAACGTGAATGCCATTCAATAACCACTGTTCGGCTTAAAGAATTTTCTCCAAAAGCCTCACAAAGCATTTCAATGGTTTCAGTAGCAGATTTACCGAGCTTCACACAAAACTTCTTGCAGACATGTTGCTCGATTTTGCCATCCATGGCAGACAAAACGGAACATAAGTTGGAAAAGCACTTGTATAAAAACAATGCCTGTTCACAGTGCGGTGTCATGTGGCAGACATGTAATAGGCATTTGGAAGTTTGACCTTAGCCTCTTCTATCATCTTTCACTGAGGCAGTTAACAACAATAACAGTTCCAGAACTTTTTGATACCACCTCATAATTCAAGTAGAAATTATGTTGCCTGAGCTTTGACAGTACCTTTCAGAATTTTTATTCGATGCAAATATAAATTTGGTGGAGGAGGAGATAGTAGATAGTAGTAGTGTTTTAGGAAGATCTACAAACAAAATGTTATACACACTGTGGTTGATGTGCGTACATTATGTAGCATTAAATGGTAGGATGATTACAAGTAATTGGGGAAAAATGTCGTGGTCAAATGAATAACGGTCAAAATTTCAATCCATAGGCTGGCTATCTTGACTGGTGTCTTGTGGTTTTCCTGTGTTCCTCCAAGCAACTGCTGGAATAATACCTCAAATTTGGTCATGACCTTTTTTTCCACATGTGTTATTTACTAATACTGTCATTCAAACAAAGCCGTATCATTTGGTCTGTTAATAGTGTCATTAAATAAACCAAGAATAAATTTAGAAAATGTGAATTGGAAAGGATGTGGTTGGAAGCATTTGTGTTGTGTTTTAATATTCTAACCTGATATTTCACAGTGGTCTGCATGCCAGGTTCAAATTCAGGACCCCCCAGATATGAATTAGGAATAGTTAACCCCTAGAATTCAGCATTTGGTGACTCCTATAATACCCATTATCTGTGAGCATCGATGATTCAAATACATAGAAGCCCACAGGTTATGATTTTCCCAAACAGATTGGAGTGTGGGGACTGTGTACCTTCGGGGTAGTAATGATTTAAGCCCTTGCCTTGAAAGTGGCTTCTCTGAGCCAGGGATGTTGCTCTAAAGGATTTTTTTTTTTGCCTATTGAAACAGTATTAATGCATAATCATTTATATATATGTAAGTGGTTATGTTATATAACTTATTGCTTGAGAGCTGATGTGTGATATAATGAGGTTGTGAGAGTTCAGGCTTGCTTAATTGGTGCTGCATGATGCTATACAACTAACTCTTGGACTGCATGTGCTGCTACACTAACCTGCTCTGAGCGGAGCTGACTCTTGCGGTTGCCACGTCGTGTCTGAGATACGTAGCACCACATGATTCAGCTTAGTTCGTTGCAGCCTTAACATCTGCTACAGCAACTAACACAGGTTTGTACAGTAAATGCTTATTAATGTGGGTGATGTGAGGTTGGCTTGTAGTCATTAATGTTTTGTTACTGCAGGGAGACCGAGGGCGTCCCATCAACAGCCATACGAGAGATCTCATTGCTAAAGGAACTTGATCACCCCAATATTGTTAGATTACTTGATGTTGTTCATGCTGCCACAAAACTATACCTGGTGTTTGAGTTTTTGACACAAGACTTGAAGAAGTATTTGGATTCATTGTCAGAAATGCTGCCGCAGTCAACTGTCAAGGTGAGACACACTAACCTTTTCTTTGCATATCAAAATTAGCAGTGATATTACCTCTGTAAATGTTTAATTCTTGCCACTTCTGTGTATTATCCTGTCACCATTCTTGATATCAGAAAATATATACATGTATTATTATTATTTGGTCAGGTCATTGACCAAATTATATGTTGAACTGTAGACTACAAAATTGTGATTCCCGATTATGTATGAAATTTTTCTGTCAATTTTAACTCCATTAATCAGTTAATCAGCAACAACAGGACTTAACTGAAATTGTGACTGTGCAGAAGCACTTATTGAGATGTGTGGCTTTTCAGTCCAAAACTAACATTGTCCTGTTATTAGAAGAAGTAAGTATTACAGAAGTTCTTGGCAGTATTGAGTGTGAAGAGCTCTTGTCTCTTGGAATGTAACGTGCGAACATAACCTGAACTATCCAGTGTTACATCCCAGAAGATAATACTCTTTAGACTTATTGGAGGTGTGAAGCTGTGCAGAAGTTAAATTTGCAGTCATAATAGGGAATATAAAATGCTTGATTACATTTGTGCTTTGGTAGGTTACCACAGCTGTGTGTATCCAAATATCATGATATATTAGCCAGTGTAGTCACATTGCAATACCTATTTTTCCTTTAAATTACTGAATGATATAGTTTGCTTGTGGACTAAACTTACTTACTTACTCATAGAGCTGAGCCCTTCTTGAGGAGCCGCCAATTCTGCAGCTACTCAAGAATTTCCAATCATTTTATGGAACCCGAAGGTTCATTACCGTGTTCACAAGAGCCCTCCCCTGGTCCCTATCCTGAGCCACATTTATCCAATCCATACCATCCCATCCTATCTCTCTAAGATCCATTCTAATATTGTCCACCCACCTACACCTTGGTCTTCCCTGTGGTCTCTTTCCTTCTGGCTTTCCCACCAATATCCTATATGCATTCCTCGTCGCCCCCATTCGTGCTACATGACCTGCCCACCTCATCCTCCTTCACTTGATCATTCTAATTATACTTGGAGAAGAGTACAAGTTA